ATATATGGCAGAAGGGGCAAGATAAAAAGTTACTTCTCCTGATTTTTAAATAAAACTGCTCCTTGCATATGATTATCAAAAGTAAGTTAGGGAAACTAGGGGTGTGACTAGGTAGTAGAATCTTTGCCTAGCAAGCACAAGGCCCTGGGTTCAATCCTTAGTTACTGTAAAACAATGCAACATAACTAAGTAGGGATGAATTAAAGTTCATGCTTATCTTTTCAAGAAGGTGAAAGACATCATGACATCCATACTCTCTTAAACTATCTCACATCTTTAGAAATTACTAATGTTCTTTATCTACTTAGGTATACTCAATTAGGTTTTATCTAATATGTAGAACTTTATCTACAAGGTATACTCAATTAGGCTTTATCTAATATGTAGACTCAAACCCAGAAAGTTACTCACATAGGAAAAGGATGCAAAAACCCTGTCAAATTCTAACTTATAGCACTGTAGGAGAGCAAGTCCAATCCTGCTGCAACATCTACCTTGTCTCTGAGCCCCTTCTATGACATCAGCTTTAAATAAAGCTACTTTAAGGCTGGAGAGATAGTTCAGTGGACTAAGTGCCTGCTTAGGGAAGCACAGGGGCTAGGGTTCGATCACTGGCACCACATGTTGCGCTGGCCCCACCCTGGGTGCACTGAGCTGGCCACTAAGTCAGAAGACACATAGATAAGGAAGGGTCACCATTTCTGGCTCCTCTGATGGTGAGAATCCTCACCCTTGAAGCAGCATGGCACAGAGCAGGCACATTTCTTAAGTTTATTAGCAAACTTTATAGGCTAGGAAGCCAACTTCAGAGTGAAGGTAATAAGAGGTGTCTTATTAAGTTCAAATACATCACAAAATTTCTTAGTTTAATTTTGAAAATTACAGGCCTCTTGAACCAAAAGCCAGCTTGAAGATGAAGAAACACAACAGAACTATGCTACACAGAGGCAAACACAGATAAAAACAGCAGTACTCATCCATCCTTCATCTAAGACACAGAGAAACTGCCTGGAGCCCCATGCCCCATGCATCTCCTGTAAAGAGAAACTATCAGGCCTCTGAGCCTCGTGTTCCACTCCTTCCATACTCTCCAATCAAGTACTCTGTGGGATATGAACACACCTACCCCATCCCAGGACTCACACAGGATGTGCTGAATTTCTCTGCTCCCTTGCTCCACCCACCACACCATGCCCTCTTCAGACTGGACACCTTTACTTTTCAGCACCTTAGACGATGTGAACACACTCAAAGCAGTGTGGAGTGGTGGTCCAGAGCCTAGTGTGCAGCCTGGGTTCTAAGGTCACCAGCAACCAGACATTCAATTGGTAACCTTTCTACACTCAGTTTTCTTACTGGTAAAATGGGAAGAGTTCTGAACCATACAGGGAGCAAAGACACTTTCATGACCAGCCTTCCTGAGTTCCTTCTGAATGGGTCACATCACACCATATTATAGTTATAACATACTATCATATATGCTATCTGCATGGAGAGCAATACCCAGGGCAATGCAAACAAACCAAACCAGACATGTGAGCTTCTTTACCAAAGCCAAATCCAGTGTGGTACACTTTCCTGAAAAAAGAGCTGTGACTCCATTTAGAGAGATGCCAGCCATGCCACTACTCACGTGGACTCAGATAACCTGGAGCTCACGTCCCACAGTCAGCAACAAGGACCTGTGGGCCTGCAGTGATTTCTACTAGAAGAACAAACAGGATTTCTCACTGCTTTGTGCTCACAAGAACCCCACCTGCACTGGAGGACAGAAGGCAATGCACATAGCCCACTTTACAGCACACACACACACAGGTCCCTCTGAAGAGGGGGACACTGTGAGTTGCCACGGATAAGGCATCAACCAGCCAAAACAGGCTGAAGCGGTGGGCCAAGCTACTGAGCTCCCTCACCTTCTGGGTCTTATTTTCAAAGTAGGAAGGAGATATTTTTCAAAATAACAATTTCTAATTTTTACTAAGCTTGTATATGAAGACAGAGACCCTACCTGCTAGTCTCAATTTCTTTAGTCGCATTCTCCTTGCCCATGAAATGGAGCAATACCAGCAGCTCTGACCAGCTATAAAACTAAAACTCACAGCCACTGGTGTTTACAGAGACTGGGCTAGCATAAGGACATCGCTCTCTCAGCTCCCTTCAAACTGCAATCAGCAGCTTCTACAATGCTAAAGAGGTTCCCCAGTTTCACAGCCCCTATCATAACCTTATTATCTTTATATGCCACGTCCTGTCACTTATGAAGCAGTACACATGGCTCCTGTGATAAGAAACAAGCCATGAAGAGAACATCAGTCTCTTGATTCCTAGACAAGGATAGTAATATGACATCACATGACATGCAAGAGAAGCATGACAACGGGTGAGGCACCTCCAGCAGAGGAAGGACAACCCCTTGGAAGGAGCCTTTATGTGGTCACCTGCACCCAAAGGGCTTGACTTTCTACACCCTCTTCTTGGAACTTCTGTCATTACAACTGGAAAAGGAAGCAAAACGTGTCTAATAATATGGCTAATTCTAACAGAAAAAAAAAACCAGCAATGTGATTTAATATTATTAATCTGGTAGGCAGAAAAACTGTCCTCAATAAATTTAACTAACTTCTTTCCACTCAGTATTAACCACACTGTTACTCAAATAGGGAGAACTACCAAAAAAAAGTTCAATTGATATATTTCTTCTTACTATGATATGCATCCATTTTGAAAGATTCTCTTCAAGATTATGTCAACTCAGCAGAAAGGTCTTCCCTGTCCCTGAGAAAATTATGCTTAACATAGCAGCTTGTGCAATAAAAAGAAAGTAAAAACTTTAACTAGTCACGGAACTAAAAAAACAGTGCTATAGTAAACACACCAGATGGAATGTCCACATTAAAACCCACCACTTTGCAGTAAGCAGACTTTCTCAGTCAATGACATCCTATGCTAGCTAGTAGACTGGAAGTAACTATGCACAATCCTATAAACCAAAATTCTTATATAAACTGCGTATTCTATTATCCAAAATGCTAGGGACCGGAAGTGTTTCATATTTTGGATTTTTCAGATTTTGGCGTATTTTACATATACATGATACCTTGTAGATGAGACCCAAACCAAAACATGAAATTCATTTATCCTCCATATACACTTTGGACACACAACCTAAAGTACTTGTATAATACTACTGGTTTAAAAAAAAAAAAAAAAAAAAAAAAGTGTTTTTTGACCACAACCTGTCTCATGAAGTCAGGTGTAGAATTTTTCCACTTGTTGCATCACTCAAAAAGTTTTCGGACTTGAGTTAAGGATGCTCAGCCTATAGCAGGGGAATGTGTAAATTATTAGTCCAAGTTCAGCTCCATTAACTACCAACCATGTGCCAGGTACAATCTGCAGTACATAGAACACTCATCCCCAATGAATGAACAGGGTGACTAGGTACTGGTATCTGAGAGCTCTTTAAACCAGAAGCATGTTTTTACAAACAGTGCTAGGAGACTGGTAGAGAACACAACCAGACTGTGTCTGCCTGCCATATCCTGGACCTCCTCATGGCAGCAGCTTGGGCTCCCTTCCTGACCTCCTCAGGTCACAGCAGGTCTGTTCAACATAAGTCTGATGATGTTACTGCTCTCAAAACCTCCTAAAGGATCACTATCCTATTCAGAATAAATGCCCAACTCTTCACTGTGACCTACAAAGGCCTTATGACCAGGTCCAAGTCACCTCTCTACCCTCAGCTCCTGCTTCTCTGGTCCTGCTCCTAGACAGACAGATTACCTTGCTGTTCCCAGCTCAGCTCATTTCTTTCTCCTGCCATGCTTGTCTGTGTTGGTAAGAATGTAATCTTAAAAGTGATACCTCTCCTCCATGTCTTGGTTGCAATCCCAATCCCCTTTTGCATGCACCACATGGCTCTTCTACACAAACCACACACGCTGCTGCCCACCCAGGGTTTCCCTTTAAGAATGTTAGATGTCTCCAGGTAGTGGTTCCGTTTTATTTACTTCTCTTGATTCAGAATCTAGAACAATACAGTGAACACACCTGGCACTCAATACAAAATGTAGTTTATGGAATGAACAATTATAATAACAACCAAGACCTCTATTACACATGGTTAAGAATGGCACTCTTCAAAGACTCCATGATTAGTGGAGAGCAAACAATTTACCATCCCTAAAAGATTGTTCAGCAGAATGTTAGAAGGAAACTGCTCAATCATAACCTAAGAACATCATGTATGTTTTTTACCAGCATCAACAGAGGCCTTTTGAAGCAAACATCTTTTCTACTTCAATTTTTGCAAGTACCAGCATTGTGCACTTTAAAAAAAAAAATTACTTAGTACATAGTCTACCGGGTCTCATTACACAGATCAGACTCATAGTGATTCTCCTGTTTTCAGCCTCCCAAGTGCTGGGATTACAGGCGCGCCCACCACTCCCAGTCTAAACTGTCCTCTCACTGCACCCCAGAGGCAGGGCTGGTAGGTGCTTTAATCTGCTGAGCTATCTCACCAGCCCTAGCATTGTGTACTTTTAAGGTATCATCGTGTGGCTATGAAACTATATTCTTAAATATTATGACTCACATTTAAGACAATCTGACCAATGTTAAAACAATTTTCCACCTTAACTATGTTCCTCATATTAACAGCTTTAGGTATTCAACAATAATACCTAAAAAGAAAGTGGATAAATAATTCTATTCCTCATCCTTCTCCAGCAAATAGTACCAATCTAATACTCATTCTAAAACTTCATACAACGCACCGGAGTAGTCAAAGTTCCTGCTTCTTCCAGCCATATAACACATAGCTAGAAATGATAAGATCCAGAAACCACTTAAGGACTAACTATACCCAGTCCTTAACAAAATCTTAGTAACTCTGTACTGCAAAGATCTTTGTAAAACAAACCAGAGACAATGCCACTTAGAATGACAGAATTAACCCCGATCGAAATCGTCTTCTACAAATAAGGAGACACTTAAAGGAAGGCGGAGGAGTGCCTACCAGAAATGAACTATAGTCACCGAAGAATCAACAAGAGAACCCATGTACCATCATTTTGGGGCCACGAGCAAACGATGCTTTTGGCAGACATATCACCCAAGTATCCTGCCAGCAAAAATGAACCTGTCTTCCTCCGAGGCAGATTCCTCAGCCGACGGGGAGAAGCAACAACTCCGCAACCACAAGCTCTCCTTTTGTGTCCTCCCCACCACTCCCCGGTTTTAAGACCTTGAAAAATTAAGCCGGGGTGAGAGAGACTCCGCCCTATCGGGCGCAGAAAAGGTTTGGGTCACCACTTCCTGGCTCCTGAAGCCAAAAATAAAAGATGCACATATTGAGAATCTCGGGGCTCCGCCGGTAACTTCAAGGAAGTTGAGCTCTGCGTCTTCGCACAGCACGCCCGCGCCGCCGGCCTGGAACGGCCCGGGCCTCCTCACCCGCCGCCCTCCCGCCAGCCGGCAGCCTGGGCGCTGCCCACCGGCCGAGAAGCGCCGGCTGCCCGGCGACTGGCGGCCGCGCAAGGGGTGGGAAGTAACAGGGGCAGCGGGTCCAGTCGCCCGCCGCCCGCGCCCCCGCGAGCGCTGTCCCGTCCCGAGAACCCCGAGCGCGCCGTGGGCGGAAGGAGCCGCCGCCAACCGAGGTCGGGCACCCACCCTCCTCACCTGCGTCCATCTTCCCCGTCCGGCCGCCGACTGGCCGCGGCGTCGCTCCGACGGGCGCAGCGCGACGCGGCGACGGGAAGCCGCGGGGGCCAAGCAGGGCGCGGCGGAAGCGCGGGGGCCGCCATCTCGGCGTACGGCGGAGAGGTGGCCCTCGCCAGGCACAAGAGACAGGAGGTACGGGGCTGCGGCTCGCAGCGCGCCGACAGGACCCCGCCGCCGGGCGCGGCCCCGTCCCTCGGAGCATCCAGGACGCCGGGGGCGCGGCCAGCTTGCGCGAACGGCGCGGCCATCTTGCCGTACGGACGGCCGCGGGCGCAGGTCGTCTTGCGCGCACATGTCACCACACGCGCGCATGTCACCGCACGCGTTCGTCCGGCCGGGTGGCTTCCGCGCTCGCCTGCTGCCGCCGCCGCCGCAACGCTCTGCGGCCCTACCGTGGCCTCGACATCCCGAGAGCGGCGCGGGTCGGACAGCAGTGGGACGCCATCTTGCCGTACGGTGCGGCCGTAGCCCACGTCCCGACCGTGTCGCCGTGCTCCCTCGGGGCGGGCCGGGCGGCGGGCTGCGGGCTGTGAGGCCGGAGCCTGGCGGGCGCTGCGCCGGGGCCCGCGATGGTGATCTGCTGTGCGGCCGTGAACTGCTCCAACCGGCAGGGCAAAGGCGAGAAGCGCGCCGTCTCCTTCCACAGGTACGAGGTTCGCCGCCACGCCCCCGCCCCGGCTGAGGCGGAGGGGAAACTGAGGCGACGCGGCGGGCTGGGTCTGGGGCGCGGGGCCTTTCTGGCCTAAGCACCAAAGGGAGCTGGTCGGCGGGAGCCGGCGCTGTGTGACCTTGGGCCGGCCGCCGTCTCTGGGCCCCGCGCCTTGGGCCGTCGTGACCACGCCAGGCCAGGTTGAGCCAGGTCCGCCCGCGCCCCTAGGCGCCCATGGACTTGGGTGGCATCGCGAGCTGCGAGAGCGGAGCGTTCCGCAGACGCGCATCTTCCACCAGTTGTTCCTGTCGCGATGACCGGGATCTGTGGCTCAGGGATGCGGACCCGGAGCACCCCCAGAGCAGTTCTCACAGGTTGGCGCTTGTACTTGGCTCAGAGACCAGGCTCATGCATCCCTCGCCTGGGACAGGCCAAAGACTCGAGGTGCTCCCAGGTTCCGTGGCTCCTTCCAGCGATTTCCTGGGAAGGGGCCAGAACATGAAATCGGGGGATCATGCCCCCAAAGGCACTGTGCACAAGCAGCTACTTCTGTGGCTAGTGGGAACGACACGCGTTGTTTACAGCATTACAGCGTTTGTCCTGAGTCCGAAGTTGCTACAGTCTGTCTAAAGAGCTGGGAACATTGATTACTTCTGGGGGCAGGCGACTGTCCTGTTTCCCTCAGAGCATGTGTCCCACCAGTTGCGTTACTGATTGTGAAAAAGAAGCAGAACTTTGCTAGGAAAGCAGCTGGTGGCATTCATCATGTCCAACGAAGTGTGGGGCAAAGATGCCCAACTTGGGGGGGGGTCCTCTGAGAATCAGGCTCCTAGTGTATTGAGAAGGGAGGGGTGGTCCTGGGCCTTAGACATTGGTGACCCATCCTGGCCACTGTGGCCAAGTGGCTGGAGGCCCTCAAGTGGAATGCTTATGCAGTTTGGTCTGTTTTCTTAAACACAGTACAGGTCTTCCTCTAATGAAGAGGTGATTGTTAAGGAACATAGGCAACCAGAAGTGATTTAAGTATGTCTTATTCTTTAGGTCCTGGGACTGGTTACCTTTTTAAAGTTTGTGGGCCAGTGGTATTAAATGTATTTGCTTAGTGTGCAGCATGTTCACCTCCACAACTCTATCTTGTAAAGCTGAAACCATCTGCATTAAACTCAGTTTCTCTTCTCGCCCTCTAGCAAGCACCATTCTACTTTGTCTATGAATTTCACTATTCTCAGAACCTTGTATGAGCACATTTAGTATTTGCATAGCAATGTTAAGTGTCTTTGTGACTGGCATATTTAACTCAGCACAACCTTCTCAAAGTTTGAGCTGCCTGTCTTGTGAGGGAGCAGTAGTGGAGTGCTCTAGGAGCACAGGACTGCAACCAGAGTCTTTCTTAAGCCAGTTTCCACTTCCTCAGCTCCTTCTACACAGCTGGGCATCAAGGTGTTCTCCTAGGGGACGGGGAGATGGCTCACTGGAATAAGCGCCTCCCTGGCAAGTGCAAGAGCCTGAGTTCAATCCTCGATCCCCGGTTCCACCAAAAAAAAAAAAAAAAAAAAAAGATGTTCTCCTGGCCTTTTATTCCTATTCCTTTGGTTTCTTAGGATGGGCATTCACCATCCTGATGCTGTTACTGCCCAGAGTCTACCTTCCAGGCATACTACAGGCAGAGCTGGTTAATGCTAGAGGTCTGGGCATCCTGCATACCCATGAGTGCACTGGATACAACCCAGGAGTGAGGGCTGCATTTCTCTCTGTCTCACAGTCTGCAGGCTCCTAAAGGTTCAATAGTGGACTGTGCAGCTTTCCATTCCAGTAACACCTTGCAAACAGATGTTCCTTGTGTCTCTAGTAAAGTATTTAAGTAGATGAAGGTGTATAAGTTTGGATTCTTGCAAAAAGTGATTTTACTTTTATAGTTGATAATTTTAGGGGGAAGCATTTAATTATTTCTCAATACTTCGTTATTCATCCTGCAGGTTCCCCCTAAAGGACTCCAAACGCCTGATTCAGTGGTTAAAAGCTGTTCAGAGGGATAACTGGACCCCCACTAAGTATTCGTTCCTCTGTAGTGAGCATTTCACCAAAGACAGCTTCTCCAAAAGACTGGAGGATCAGCATCGCCTCCTGAAGCCCACGGCTGTGCCCTCTATCTTCCACCTGACTGAGAAGAAGAGGGGGCCTGGGGGCCATGGTCGGGCCAGGAGAAAGGACACTAGCAAGACCTCAGAGGTTGTGAAAAGTCATTCAAGCACAACAGCGGGGAAAGCAGCCCCAGGTTCCTCATCACCCTCGAGTGGAAACCCCATGGCCAAGCCTGAGTCCCGAATGTTGAAGCGAGCTGCTCTGCAGGGGGAGACAGTGCCCCAAGCTGGCCCAGACACTATGGGTCGGGGGCAGTTGCAGGGGTCTCCAGAAAGAACACCAGGCAGTCAAGGTGATGCAGAGGCACCCGCTGCAGATTCCCGTGAACAGAATGCTGCTTACTCCAGCCCTGGGCTAGGGGCAGACAAGAGTGGTATTTCTGTGGATGACTTTACCCCTCCAGGGTCTGGAGCTTGCAAGTTTATTGGATCCCTCCATTCTTACAGCTTCTCTTCCAAGCACACTCGAGAGAGGCCATCCATCCCCCGAGAGCCCATTGACAGAAAAAGGCCGAAGAGAGACGTGGAGCCCAGCTGCAGTGGGAGCACCATTGGGCCTGACAAGAGCTCAGCCCAGAACCCCCCAAGCTCCTCACTCACAGCCACGCCACAGAAGCCTTCCCAGGGTCCCTCGGCCCCTCCGACTGACGTCACCCCAAAACCAGCTGCAGAAGCCGTGCAGAGCGAGCACAGCGATGCCAGTCCCATGTCCATCAATGAAGTTATCCTGTCCGCGTCAGGGGCCTGTAAGCTCATCGACTCATTGCACTCCTACTGCTTCTCAGCGCGGCAGAACAAGAGCCAGGTGTGCTGCCTGCGGGAGCAGGTGGAGAAGAAGAATGGGGAGCTGAAGAGCCTGCGCCAGCGTGTCAGCCGCTCTGATAGCCAGGTGCGCAAGCTGCGAGAGAAGCTGGACCAGTTGCGGAGAGCAAGCTTCCCCTACCTGAGTGGCCTACTGCCCCCCAGCCGCGGTCAGTACCGAGTACCTCTTGGGGGCGGGGTCTTCCTACAGGATGGCACATGTCCCCCAGTGCCCCCTGGGCCAAGACTCCCTGCACTCTCAGAGGGAGTGCTGCTCATCACAGGGCTTGTGAGGTGAGGAACCCAAGCTGGAGAGCTGAACCCACTTGCTTCTGGGGACATGATGAGCATCCTCTGTGAGTGCATGGAGGGCTCTTTCTCTAGGGAGTGGGGACCCTGGGCCTGGGCAGTGGGTTTTTCATTGCCCACTTGCACAAATGCACAGCACAGGCAAGTAAGGTCACTATCAAAATAAGACAGATTGACTAAACCCCTAAAAAAAAAATACAGGGAACTCAGAATCTTAGGGTGTCTCTTCTGCTCCTGTCTGCTGAATATCCTTGAGGTCATTTTAGACTTCAATATTTATATCTTTTAACATCTAGTTGAGGGCCGGGGAGATAGCTCAGTAGAATAAATGCTTTCCTGGCAAGCACAGGGTCCTAAGTTCAATCCCCGGTACCACAAAAAAAAAAAAAAAAAATCCATTTGATATATAAAACTTCTATTCAAGCCTGTAACCCCAGCACTTAGGAGATTGAGGCAGGATTGCTTTGAATTTAAGGCCAGCATGGGCTACAAAGTGAGTTTAAGGCAAACCTGATCTGCATAGTGAAACCCTGTCTTAAAAAGACAACCAAAGGTCTGGGGAGATAGCTCAGCGGCATAAACACCTGTCTGGCAAGCACAAGGTCCTAAGTTTGGTCCCTGGTACAAAAAAAAAAAAAACTATTCTAGAAGAATACAGTTTGTTTCTCAGATTAAAGCACTGCAAAAATGTTAAAAATACCCATTTTTGAGAGCTGGCCAGACAGCTCAGTGGATTAAAAAGCCTGCTTCAGCAGAGCACAGCAGCCAGGGTTCAATCCGGGGTCTGCCGTGCCAGCCCCGCCCCTGGAGTGTGCAGAGACAGCAATTGAGACTGGGTGTGGTGGCAGGTGACAGTAATCCCAGCACTTAGGACACTAAAGATAGGAGAATCACTATGAGTTCGATCTGTGTAGTGAGACCCTATAGACCCTGAACTAAATACTTAAAAAAAATTTTTTTTCACTTACCTTCCAAATTTTATATGGTGTTGGTATTACAAATTTGTTATATATTCAGGCTACTTACAGGCCTTTTAACATGTGTATACTTGTCCCTATACAAATAGGTAGAATGTATTTTTACATGTTTATTAGCTGTTTCCATTTGTCATCTTCTGTTTTACTGTTAAGTACTGTTAAGAATTGATTTCCAGACAACCTTTTTATATTCTTAAGAATCATATCCTTTGCCTGTTCTGCACATACAAAAAGCATTTTCTTGCCACCTGTTCATCTGGTCTGCCCCGAAAGCCATGCCCTGAAAGCATTGGGAAAGAGCAGCCAGGCTGGGCCCCCGGCCTAAACAGCACTGTCTTGTCCTGCTGCGTTGTGATTTCTCATGCCTGATGCTGCTTTGGTACCTTTTCCCACACTTGGTCAGACTCACTGCAG